ATTGTGATACAACACGCGAGGGATTTGGTTATGGGGCAACTGGAGTTGTGACATGGGAGGAAGATGATTACAACACAAGCTGAGTTATGGGTTTTGATTTAGGTATTAATGTATCAATGAGAAGTTATAGGAATTCTCAAATGATTTTGGTGGCCTTTCGGTCTTGAAACTTCATATATACATACATGCGCAAAGAGAGACAGGGAAATATTGGTTAACTCAGGCCTAACATGATTCCATCACAGTTCATTTGACTACGGGGAATTGAGGCCTCTTTCAAGATTCCCATTCTTGCTATGTGCCTACAAGTGACTTGGAGAAAAATATTCAACAATAATCAGATAAACTTAATGAAAACTCTTAAGATATTATAATAGAAAACATGAATAATCTTAGTATCTATAGAAAATATGCCTTGAAGACATTCCTTCTAATGATAGCCTTCATTCAAATTTCTTAGAAAATATTCTAGAATACTAGAATTCATGCCAATGTGCGTTCATAGGCTGATGCAACAGCCTTGGCAACAAAATAGGAAATTGGATAATTAGAAACGGCCACACCCAAGGAATGTAGTTGGAAGCTTTTGATCGATTGATTTAAAAATTCTGATTCCATTTTTGAATCTTGCGTTCATGTTTGATGCACAAAATTTTCTTGTGCAATAGAATTGTGAGCGCTAATTTTCGTGGAAGCCATGTCCTTGTATATGTGGTCTTTTGGATGCAGTGGGGTTGATGGAGGATTACATGTTAAGCTTGAAGGGTGATAATGGTCACGATGATCATAATAAAAATCATGTGAATTGTTCCATGAGCAACGAGTATGATCTTTTTGGTAGAATATGAATCATGAGGTAAAAATTATGGTCATATGAATGGTTTGACAAATATTTTCGACAAAATGGAGAATTTTAATAAAAATATCTATCATAAAAATATTCTCGAAGGATGATAACAAATCTTTTTGTTCAAGTGATTATAAGATTTAGAAAAATGATAAGCTTTCCTTGAAGGGCATGAAATATAAGAGTGATAGTCCATAAAGAAAGATGTACAAAAAATGAAAAGAGAGATGAGAAGTATGAACCTAATGGAAATTTATGAAGGTTTAAGTTTGTGGAGTTTATGGGATTATAGTAAAGATCAAATGTAATGGGAAATACAATATATTATTTTGGGGCCATTGAACTTTTAATGGGAGTGCCAAATTGTGCTTTTAGCAGAAGAAGATCATCGGGGATGCATTTGTTTGGGGTTTGATGTAATGAGTAATTGACTCATGAATATGAAAATTTATTTTGGAAATAGGGTCACATTTGATGAGGTTTGAGAAATGGTTGATCGTGATTTGACCACCTTGAACATAAGTTAAAAAGTCAATGGGGAGGTAAGGGGGGTGGTGGTGTTTTGTGGTTTAGGTTTGGGTTGATTTAGCTTGAATTTAGAAAATTATTAACTCTTATTCGGACTTACTAGGTTTGATAGTGATTAAAACTTCGGAGTTCTTAAGTGTCTTACAAAAAAAAATTGTAGTAATAGTATTATGAAAAATTACAAAGCACTTAAAAGAGTAAGAAGCAGATTGAAAGTCACATAAATCTGATCAAAATTGAGATAGTTAGGACCAATATACTATGATGATTTGAAATAAAAATTTTTATTGAGAATAATAGAAATATCAAAATTTTGACATATCTTTGAGGGCCAAATGAGCTTTGATTACAATTTTAAATTTCATCTACAAAGTTAAGATTGTACACAAGAAATTTTCTTTTTGATGTTAATAAAATCAAACATCAATAAGACATAAATAAGCAAGAAAAAAAATTTCAGTAAAAAATAAGTTTGTTCAATGAGGGATACCCACCAAATAATAAAAGAGAGATGAATGAAGCTGGAAAAAATGAAGGGATAAAAATTGAAAGAGCTTAATAAATATTGCAGGGGGAAGCTCATAGCACACAACAAAAGATCTCTAATGAAAACCTTTTTTGTTATACAATTCTTATGGCCTTTATCCCCTTCTAGTTGTATTTTATTGAATATTTAGAATTTGTATGATGAGCTTTTTCCTTGTTTTTTATTTGGTGATATCTGATTGTTTTATCAGAACTTTCTAGAAATTTGATTCTTTGAACTAAACTGAGATTGTGCAGGCGTGTAGGGAAGATACCTTAAAGGATGCGCAGCTCCTTCGGTTTGTAATTAATCAGATGAGGAAAGTCTAAGTTTTCGTTTGGGACGGCTTTCTTACTGCTTCTTAAAGCAGCTCTTTAGTATAAAAATTTAGATTTTTATACTAAAGAGCTGCTTTAAGCAGTAAGAAAGCCGTCCCAAACAAAACCCTTCATTGTGCCGTTTTAATTCACTTCCATCATCTGAGGGTGTTCCTCTTATGATTCGATTTGTCAATAGAACAAATTTCATCTGTAAAATCCTCTTTTACTTCGTTATGGGAGACAAACACCAATGTGTTATATTATTGTCAAATTTAGGCTTCTACTTCTAGGATCAAATATGTATTATAGATTAAGTTTTTTTTTGAGATAGCTTTCTTCTTGCTTTTTAAAATAGTTTTTTAATAAAAAAAATTTTGAACTTAAAATTTTTGTATTAAAAAATTAATTTAAAAAGCAGTCCCAAATGAAGTTTAAGATTTGTTGATGGATGTAAGAAAATTTGATCAATGAACGGGTCTTTATCTTTGTTAGGACTTGTTCTTGAAAATGTAAAAAATTAATAGATAAAGTTTTCATAGTATTTTAAAATTTTCAGCTGAAATTATGTACAATCATTGCTAGATTTTTAAATTTTGATTTATTATGTAAGTATTGTCTACTATTTGAGCCCCATTAAATTTTATAATGATTTAATTATTTGCGTTTCTGATAAAAAGAATGAGTATAGTTTGACAATATAAAATTCTTTAAAATTATTTTTTTATTAAAATGCTTTAGCAATGACAATCATTTATCACACACAAAATTTATTTAACAAAATTATAATTTATCTAGATTAAAAATTAATAAACCAGGCTTTTCTGTTTTTGGTTTTTATTTTTTATTATATATATATTTTTTTAATAAACCATGGTTCTTTAATATTAATAAAATTAATATTTACCAACAATAGGCCTTCTCAAAGGAACTTTTATTATGTCCTCTGATCGGATGTAGCTCTATGTTTGGTTAGAAAATTGTTACTCAGTTTTTGTTAGATATTTGATTGGTATTGTTAGGTATTGTTTGTCAATAACGAGGAATATTGTTTTGTGAAGATCAATACTGAATAATATCGAGCAATATCGAGTAATTCCAAAAAATACCGAGTTTTTCTAAAAAAAAACTCGATGTTTTTGGTATTACTCGGTATTGCTCAGTATTTGGTCTTCACATAATGATATTTCTCGTTATTGTTGGTATTGCTCGGTATTTGCTCGGTATTTCTTGTTTTGTGCCTGCGATCTCAGTGTCGGCCGAATGTAGCTCTACGCACGTTCACTGGACCAAATAAAAATTCTCAAAGCAATTAGAGAAACAAAAAAGAAAATAAAATTATAGATGAATTATACATAACAGATTTTAAGAAACCTGATATGGATTTTGGTAATACTTTCTATATAGGTACAGACTCGAGTGCTTAACACAGACAGTAGTTACATAACCAGTCATTTCTACACTAAAATTTTATGCAAGTCCTGAAACAACTATAAGTGTATACAAATAAATACACGCAATCAAATCTTGTACAGTGTTTAATACTTTTTTAACCTTCTAGCAATGCAATCTGTAACCAAAAGCTCCTGTAGAAGTGCATTAATACCATTTGTTGAGACTCTCAGGCTGTGGAATTCAATGATTTGATCATTCTCCTACGCCAAGTTGCAGTATCTGGATCAAATTTAAGCTCCCAAGTAGGCCAATAGTGAAGATCTTGCTTTAGAGTGAGCACTCGAGGCTTCCCATTCAAGTGAACCGTCTTCACACGCACAAACTCCCCATGCTCCAGTCCCTGGAGAAAAATACATCACCAAAATGTTATCTGAGATTTAGAGAGCTACATGAAATAGAAGAGCCAAGTGAAGACTAAGATTTCGTTTGAGATAGCTTTCTTCCTATTTTTGAAGTAGTTTTTTAGTTTAAAAATTTGTTGTACTAAAAAGCTGCTTTAGAAAGCAGTAAGAAAGTCGTCCCAAACGAGACCTAAAGTCAAAAGAAGCTACTTTCTTCTATTCACTAAAACCCTAGAGCGTTAAACCTGCTTCATCTTGTGACAGCTTTAAACCTCCTGGTTTATACCATATGAAATAAACCTAAATTAGACATACACAAATCTTCAGAAACCACATGCTCTTTTGTCCTAGTGGAATATTTATGCTTCTTTTGGGATGGCTTTTTACCATTTTTTGAAGTAGATTTCTAGTACAAAAATTAAAAAAATTATAAAAAAGGTTGTTTTAAGAAGTAGCAGTAAGAAAGCCGTCCCAAACGAAACCTTAATGACATTCAATTTGGTGTATTTGCCATATATAATTTTATAGCTCGTTTAAAGATTATACTAGGGCGTTTGACCTTGCTGTAATCATTCACTTACTGCGCTTGTTTTGCCTAATGCTTTCAGTTACATCAGATCTAAATATCAAGATTTTGAAGACACGTAACATGATGATGGAATTCATGGATGGGGCTCCATGATGAGCCATTGATATAAAGGGGGTCAAATTGACATCAAATTGAAAAGATAAATTCTGAAAGGACATACAACATTTTTCATGAAAAAATTACTGAAAAATATGAGAAGAATACTATATAATTTTCTTATTCCAAGTGATAGAATATGTATGATACTTATAGGAAAGAACCTAGCCAAATTGATGGGTCTTGATTTATAAATAAACTAGTGTAGAGATAAAGCCATAAAAAACCCCAAGGGAGAAAGGAAAAAAAGGGAATAAAATAGACCGAATTAATTATAATAAGGTATGTAATGCATGCAAAGTTTTAAATTTATTCCACACATTAGGAAAGTAGTGGCTCCAGGATAGAAAGAAAGAGCTAGCTGTAGCATGTCATTAGGGAATGTGTGCATCAGGATGCCCGTCGATGGAAGATTTTATGGTTGCAAGCTGGCAGAAGGTGTATTACGAGATTGATTAAAGGCACAGTAATTAAGGAGCTGATTTTTAGATTGTCAAACCTAACCCCTCCAATCTAGGTCAATCAGGATCTGACTTATCATGATGCCCTCACCCTTTTCCATGAAATAAAGAGGGTGATTATGCTCTGCCATTCCAAGCATGAGGTATTCTCTAGAGATCTCGATGACTAATTCATTGTGTTTGCAGAAATTCAATCAAACATCTCAACAAAATATGCTTTATATCTTTCCTAGCCTTTCAGACCCTGGATCAAAATCTAATAGAGATCTTAGGACATTAAGAGAGCTTCATATATGCTGAGTTGTGTTAGGATCTTTCTTAGATGAGATGAGATGTTATAATCTATCCCCTTTATTTGAAGTAGTGGATTTCCTCTTGGCATCCTTGGTGATGATTTATTCATTGATAACTATATCATTCTCTTTATCTTTTGCTTGATGATCCTTTTCTTGATGGAGGTGGAAACCTTACCACTCTTCAACTGTATTTAGACCACTTCATTTGACTCATTTTCATCTGATGAAACAATTTCTTCAGAGTCAACATTTCTTGCTTTAGATGATTCAGATGGAGGTTCATAGTCGCTATCCAACCTCATGTGCTCCATGCGTGATGCTATATCTGATTCTAACTCATTTTCATCTAGGAAGTATAAATCCTCCTATGAACTATAGTTCGTCTACAATACCATCAGACAAGACTCAAAAGTTGCTAACCCAAAATGCATTTCTTTTGCTGAGGTAATAACTTTGGAATCTCCTCACCGAATTACCTTTGTTGGAGCAGTTACTATGGTGAGTTCAAAAGGAGCTCTTGGTGAAATATTCAACATCACCGAGATGATTCGACATGTTTCCATAGGAATTGACTCTCCTTCCATAGGAATTGACTCTCCATCCGCTTCTTTGCTATCACCTTCTTTTGTTCTGTCTATGTGCATCTTGGACATGAAAGTCTATGAGTGTGACAAGTCGCCTCACTGGTTTATGATGGTCCTCCAGGTTATGAAGACCATTTGGATTGGGATTGTCTTCTTCTTCAATTTCCTATGCTTATTTGCTCTCTTGGGCATCTTTGGTAAGACTTTGAAGGGCAATTTTCCATATCAAGAGAAGCTGGCATGGCTATAGTTTTCCCGAGTCAATGGCTTGGAGGTAGATGCTTTAGAACTTGGCTTATCTTTCAAATAAAGCATTGATTTGATTGGGGATTTTCACTTGGCATTGGGGATTTTCACGATCTTCTTTTAAACCGTCCCCCATTGTATTTCCTTTCCTTTTATGTTTTGATAGTTGGCACGGAAGAGGACGTGAGCACCCTTATAAACTCTCTTTTCGGGTGAGGCAGAATGTTATTCAATAGCGTGAATTACCCTTTTAGACAAATGACTATGAAGGGTGGATGGATTGTGCTTTAAGTTTTATGTGAATAATTATTTTAAAATTTTAATTTTAAATAGAAGTTGAATTTTAAAATTTTGATAGATTTTGAGAATTGACTACTCCAGTTGAGGTTCACTTTTAATACAGTTATCATTGAGATTTTTAGATAATTTTATTTTATTGTTTGAACATTGTTAGCTTTATTTGCCGATGAATAGAGGATCAAGTACAACTTGTGAATTGTCACACGAACATTAAAATCTAGAGTTTTCATTTTTCTGATGAATTTTATTTAAAAATGATTTGAAGGTTTAATGTGAATGTAAAAAGCAAATACTTTTGTGAATTTTAAGGTCCTTTATTCGCTTATTAATTTAATTTTCGTCGAGTCTGATCTCTTTAAGGAGGATTGGACTTAAAATCTATGTTCATATTTAACTCGTGCAACATTCTCGAACTTTGGGTTTAGGAATTCGATGCATTGATCAGAGTACATGCGGATGGTTAAAAAAAATGTATGAATTTTGAAGTAAAATGACGGTTGAGCTCCCTTTTTTCTTCCATTTTATTTTTAACCCGAGTAGCATTTTTAGAAGATGAATTTAAGCACTTAACATATTTATTGGAGCACATGCGAAAATTTGGATTCAATGATATGATGAATTGTGCACAATGTCTTCCCAGGATGTGTATTAGTTTTCCCTTCTTTACAAGCACATACTTTATTTAGGACACTCATAAAGCTGTGACTTGCAACATGTTAGCTTATTTTATTTCATTCAGAGGCATTTACATGAAACAATTGTCGGAGATATGTAAGGGTCTGACGTGGTAGGCATCCACGGGCATATGTTATTGTGGGATCATACATATGATTTACATTTTATGTTAAGTATTATTCGTGTTTCATCCGCATGCGCATGTATTGCAAATCCTGAGGTGAGGTGTCACGAAATAGAATATTGACATATTTTTCACATGAGTCTTTTATTGCCTTTTTATGGTTGGGATTTAGCTTGATGGGCCCCATAGAAAATCAAATTTCATGTTATAAATATGGAGCCCCATTTAGTTCATTTTCATCCTGTTTGCGAAAGTTAAGGGAAATACCTAGTTTATACTTGTTGGCGAACCGTCACGTTCATTACAAATCTCATGCAAGGCTTGTTTCAATTTAGTCTCATTCTCATTTTAGTAAATGTGGTCTCATTTTATGTTAATTTAATTTTAATTTATTTTTGTTCCCTTGTGGGCTCCGAAAATTCGGCCTCGGCCTCCACTCGCTTTTCTTATTCGGCGAGGGAGTTTTAACGAACTAAGTTCCGAGGTAAATTTTGGAAGGCAGATGGGTTTGTAGATAAGACACTACCCAGAGATTTCGCCCTCATTTTGTGAGGACTTTATGATCTGAGTTCTGGTTTCCTATAGGCGCAAGCCCCTATAGTTAATTACCCCTCCCGATCACGAGAGAGAACTTTTGATTAAGGCTAGTCGTCAATCAGATACGTATAGAAATACAT